GGGGGGCTAAGCCCTGCCTCCAAGATTCAGAGGAGGCGGTTGCTTGTGGTACTCTTTCTTCACCATCAGGGAGGGAGAAGGAAGCTCCGTGTGGGCCACTCACTCCTCTGCCCCCTCCCGCTCCAGCCAGGACAGAGAGGCATGCCAGCCCCCTGACGCAAAGGGAACAAGCAGCAGCATCCCCATAGGAATCTCGAGGGAAGGGGCTTCAGCCCCACCTTCAGTCCCTAAATGACACTTGGGGGCAGGGGAGGGAATCAGGGCTGGGACAGTCCCAGACTGCTGGGGGAGGGGGGATGAGACACACACTCCAGCGTGCCCCTTTAGTCTGGCTACTTAGCAGGAAGCCCTGGGAGCCCAGCGGGGAGTGTGCCACGCCTCCTCCTGCTGCCGAGTGCCCCAGCTGGCCAGCTGCTTCTTGCCAGAGCAGCGCACCGGCTTCCTTTCACCTCTGCCCACATCCAAGTTTTTAGCTCACGTCACAGCTCTAACCACAAATAAAAAAAAAAAAAAAAAAAAAAAGGGTGGTAGAGGCAGGATCCAATGCCATCTTCACACCCGGGTGCCTCAGGAGGTGAGCAAAAAGCCCCGTGAAAGCAGAGCTGCGCTGGAACAGCAGAGTCCTGGCTTCCCAGGGGCAGGCGAGCGCTCTCAGAGCAGCGACAGGATTGGCAGGTGCTGCCCGCCTGGCTACAACTAAGTTGTTTAAACAAATGTGTTGCAACGGTAGAAAAAAATGTTGTGTGTCTGAAAACTATAAGTACTGGGGGTACTTATTTATTTTTGAAAAAGGAGTACTTTATAAAAAAAAACGCAGGACAATGTAGCACTTTAAAGACTAACAAGATGGTTTATTAGATGATGAGCTTTCGTGGGCCAGACCCACTTCCTCAGATCAAATAGGGGAAGAAAACCACTTTTTTCTTCCACTATTTGATCTGAGGAAGTGGGTCTGGCCCACGAAAGCTCATCATCTAATAAACCATCTTGTTAGTCTTTAAAGTGCTACATTGTCCTGCGTTTTTTTTTATAAAGTACTCCTTTTTCAAAAATAAATAAGTACCCCCAGTACTTATAGTTTTCAGACACACAACATTTTTTTCTACCGTTGCAACACATTTGTTTAAACAACTTAGTTGTAGCCAGGCGGGCGATGAAATTTCTGGGTGTAAAAAGTACAAAAATTATAAAACGCTGTAAAACTTAAAACAAAAATTCAGTTTTCTCCAAGTTTCAGTTGTGTTGACGTACCCCCCAGACTTCTCTCGAGTACCCCTCAGGGTACACGTACCACTGGTGGAGACACACTGCTCTAGCACGCTCTATTTTTCTTTCTTGTCAATGCTCTGACTCACTTCCTGAAGCTCCACTCAGTTGTTGATTTTAGGGGGTTGCTAAAACCAGTAACAACTTCCACAAGCACCAGGCGCTGGCTGTGTTTAGTAAGACAACTCCTTGGCCACAGTCTCCCCTCTGTCTGCCTGCGTAGGAGGGGAGGGATATATTGGCTGCCCGAGTCTCCTGCCATGCCCAGATCCTCACTGAATGCACACACTTCACCTCAAGCCCTGATCAGAATGTTATGCAGAATGAGTTAGGAGTATCCGAGCCCAATGCTGGCAGCCCAGCCTGGTTTCCCCTGTGAGGGAAAGGCTGAGGGAAGGGAGGAAGAGCCCTACAAGTCACGTGAGACACTGAGCTCTTCTCAGCCTGGTTTCTCTGCCGCCATTTGAACACGGCTACAGACCCAGAAGGCGCTCTCAGCTTTTCACAACCAAGGAGGCGAGTTTCCTTCACCTGAGGATTTTAAAAACCAAGCACGGGTTGTAAAGCAGCTGCGAAGTAGAGTAAGCGCCCGGAGCACGGAAGAGAGTCCAATGCTCTCCTCTTCACAGGATGGCTGAAGGAGACAGGACTGCCTCAGTTTACCACGGGGCTGCTCTGTTCTACGGGAATTTGAATTCTACTCCTTTGACACCCATTTGTGCGATGGTGGGGTCCCTGCAAGGAGGGTACATTGCAGGGAAGAATACAACAGATAAGGACAGAGAAAGAGGGACCCCAAACCAGCCAGCCCCACTGATTCTCAGGCTGCCCTCAGCACCGCAGTATCCAAACAGGATGTTAAGTGAATGACAGACATCGGTCTCATGTGGCCTGCTCTCACCCCACCCCTGAGGAGAGCTGTGTGCACAGGGGAACGTTTGGTACAGTACGAAGTACCCAAATCTCTCCGTTTCAGAATGAGACCAGGGCCAGGAGATGCCCATTTAATGCTCTATCCCCAGTTTTGTGTAAGCTTCCTGGAGCATGGACAGGTGCTCTACTGTGCCTAGCCCAGAAGGGTCCTGGACCATCACAGGGACGACGAGACATCACCCTAAATACAAATAAGAACGAGATCTTTTCTGTTTGTCCCAGGTGCAAGAGTCATGCCAGCTGTACTTGTAGCTCCGCCCCATGCTAATTGCCCTTGGGGGGAAGCATCTCCCCTCCATCCCACTTGGGAGGTCTGTCTACACCAAGGAGCGTCGGCCAATGGGTCCCACTGAACTGGGGCTGATACCGTTTCCTCTGCCACTACAAAAAGGGACAAACCTTCTTTTCAGGAGGGGAACCCGTTGCAGTAATGGGCCAGTTTGCTACTGCAGATGGTGCATTAGCTCCCTTACTCCAGCCTGGGGATCACGATCCATGCTGCAAGTCACGCCTCCTAGGAGACAGGCCGGGCAGAGCCAGCTCTTACCTGCAGAAGTGCAGCCATCATGTAGAAGACAATGAAGATCAGGGTGAGAGTCGTGTGCCCGCCCTGCATAGAGCTGATGGTGTAGAGGAAAACCAAGTGCCCAGGAACCACGAGGAGGAGGTCTGGCGAGAAACGGAGAGGACAAACCTCAGCATTTGCACAGACAATGCTACCCTGCAGCCAGGGTGGGCGCCCGCTAATCACCAGACAATGTCCTCGTCAATCGCGTGCTGCAGCATATCGGCTCCACGCACCTTCGGGATCAGTGCAAGGAGCCTAACAGAAATGCCCCAGACTCTGAACGCTGCCGTAGAGACCCACCCTCACTAGAACCAGCGATAGCTAACCTCAGCATTTGCACAGACAATGCTACCCTGCAGCCAGGGTGGGCGCCCGCTAATCACCAGACAATGTCCTCGTCAATCGCGTGCTGCAGCATATCGGCTCCACGCACCTTCGGGATCAGTGCAAGGAGCCTAACAGAAATGCCCCAGACTCTGAACGCTGCCGTAGAGACCCACCCTCACTAGAACCAGCGATAGCTCCCCGCACTGACGGGGCGGAAGGGACAGGGAGCGAAGAGGCGCTACACGGCCCCCAGCGGCAATCGAAGAGGCACCTTTCGGCCGGTGCTCAGCACGCAGCTTTCCGCAGTTCCAGGGAAGGACGAATTCACTGTAGTGAATTCATCAGAGCAACTAAGACAAGGCACGTGGTGCTTCTAAGGTATGCATCTGCCCCCTTTCGGCGCTGGTAGTTTTGACCCTGTCTGGATGCCTCCCTACGCCAGGGATGTAAAATTCCGTTTCAAATGTTCACCAGATCAACTGTACATTCAACCAGTTCATTGGCCTGTGCTGTGGTGGGCCTGCCTTGCCTGGAGCACCAGCCAGGCCAGCTACCCACACTGTGTGGGGGGGGGTTGCCCTGGCTCGACCAGGCCCGCTGCCCCACACGGTGAGGAGACGGCTGCTGCGGCCAGGCCTGGTTAGCTGGTGATCTCAGTAAGCGTGCCAGGAAGATGAATGCTTACCGGGTAACTGGTTAACCCTTTACATCCCTACCCTACGCTTGTATTGCAACAGATAATGCTGACATCTGATAACAAAGCACCCGCTCAGCACCAAGCACCTGGGAAGCCAGGCCTATTCGCTCCCAAGCTGCAGGCTGCCCTGCCCCGTGCACTGCAGAGCATCCATCTCAGCACGTACGTGGCACGCAATGCAAGTCAGGATCCCCTCTTCACCGTGTCCCTCCTCCCCCTGTGCCCCTCCTCTCTCGAAACATCTGGGGCTGCTGCTCAGTAACGGAAACTTTATGGAGCCTCCATCCACAGGAGCGTTTTTGGCTGGTGCAGGCACGCAGGCCCA